TGGTGGTGGCGCTCAACTGTACGGTAATGGGTCAGGAGGCCCATTACATTAACGTAGGTATCCTTCCCCACAAAACAGACGAAGTATTCTTACATTAAACCTTTTTCCTAAAAAAACTGGAGGGGCATTGACCCATTCCCCCTACTTTTACCGAAAATTAGCAGTGCTGGGTGGGGAGGGGGAAAGATTTGAATGAATCACTAGTCTTAGAAAACGATAGAGTATATGTGCCACGCCCTTGGGGTTTAAATTCTTTGAACAGATCCAAGGGTGCAACTTTACTTATTGTGGCAAAAAAACTCTAATTGGTTTTACATTTTTGGAGACTTGATAAGTAGAAAAAAGTCTCACTCCTTTTTAATAGTTGACTCGTTGTTTCAACATGACGAGTTTATTGAATAACCATGAAGTTCTTTGCTTGGAGAATAATCCTTCGAGCGGCACATCCGGCATGCCAAATGTTGTAATAAACATAATCGAAAGGCAACAATGCAATTCACCAGTTTTATTTAATCAATTCAAATGATGTTTCACATCATTCGATTATCAATCATCAGTTGGTCAGAGATGTTTTTTCATCTTCAGATTTTGCCTTATTATGGGATTTCCGAAAGAGGTAGAATAATTGCACAGTGCACGGATTAAAACAGTATTCCCAGAAGGTATGTAATAAATCTTAATGTTTTTGTAGCATTGCCCTGCTTGGAAGGAATAACAAATCGTTTCTAAAAAAGAATGGGTTTTCTCCTGAGTTCACTTTTAAATTTATGCAACCTTTATGTCTCGTCCAAGGAATGAATTCGGTTTCTCAGTGGAATGAAACGGGTAGCGCATGCGAACTCTTAGCTTCACAGGTTTCTGTGCTGTTTATACCACGGACACTGAGGGAGGGGTGGTGGTGCTAAGTGATCGCCTCAGAACAGGTATCCGCCTTATAGGGAGTCAACGGAAAAGAGTGAAAAACAGTAAGGACCTACCCTTGGGCTATGTTCACGGTATACCAGACCGGAGAGCTTTTCGTGCCCACACGTAAACCTATCCGGTATAGTGTGAACACCTGATCCGATATGTGACTCTCCACTTTAGAGATCGGCGTGGCGCAGTTCCTCTTTATTACAGAATCCCTACCCGGTATGCTTTTCGTGCCAGCGCAAAAGCTATCTATCCGGTTGTGAACATGGCCTTTGTGTTCGTTTTAAAGAAGCGTCCGTTAGGAGAGAAGAAGTAATACCCTTCGAGGTATTACCTTTTTCCCGTTTTTAGCGAAACGAGCGAAATTTTCTGTACCATTTGTTTGGATTACCGGTGCCAGGCTTCAAGTCCAGTGAAAACGAAAAATTTACCGGTATTTGGTAAATGGTACAACTCAATCCCGTTCTTGTTTTCGGTGCCCAAAAAAATACCAGCGCCATTTGACGGAACGTTTTCACCGAAATTTCCGTACAAATGGTAAGCTTCCTAGGTCTATTAGTAGTGGATTGACCTTGACACAACGTAACACTTCAGTTCAGAGATGTTCAAGTCTGCATTCAGCCCATGTTACAACATACCGAATGGCTTTTGTGCCGGTGCGAAAACCATACCGGAGAGGGCTTCTGTTTAGATATAAGAACGGCGCTTTGGGCGTGTTTTCTGTGATGGAGCCAAGCTGCGCTGTGCGGATCTCTAAAGTAGAGAGTCACATATCGGATAGGTGTTCATACTATACTGGATAACTTATCGTGTCAGCACGAAAGGCTATACGGTATACTGTGAACATAGCCTTAACCTTAGAGACACTGCGGCTAATATATAAGACTACTATACTCACACTCACAAATGAACAACTGAGATTGCCTCAGGAAAAAGAATGGAGACGTTAAGGTGATGTTACATGAGACAATTCCTAAGGACTATTTTTAGTGCAACACAGCGTTGCAATGCTACAACAATGTTGTAAATATTCGAAACAATGTTGCAAAGCTTTGTTGAGCTAAAAATCGTCGTTGTGAATCGTCTCGTGTAACAGTCACCTTTAAGACCCGAGGAAGGCGACGAAAACGTCGCTTTTTTAAAAAAAAGAAATTAGCGTTCTTGTAATCTTCATAAAAATTAATTGTTACCCAGTTACTTTGTCAAGTGTAGGCGAACTCTCCTTGAGTTGAATTCCTTAGAGTCATATCCAAATTCAGAAAAAGAAAGGAAACTTTACCGTCACTTGTTTACTCCATAAAACGTGCAGTTGGGCATTTTGACGTCGTAGTCGTGCAGTGACGGCAAAGAAATGTACAAAAGAAGTGTGCTGCACGCGTAAAGTTGTTGTTTTGCTAATTAAACCTATTAATTTTTTTAAATTTTAATTTCAACATGGAGTCCCAAGAAATTGCGATTGGTTTGATCAAGCAAGACTCTGTTATGCGGGGAGCTGTGAGACAAAAGTTTAACCATTTGTTGACTGCCAAACCATGGTCGACCAAGCTTGAAAGCTAACCATGATCGCCACTTTAGAAATGGAAAGGAAACTGGAAACAAAGACGTCTGAGACTGTTATTGGAGACAGGGAAAACACATCGGCCAATAGCAGACTGACACGTCCCCAGTAACAATCCCAGACATCTTTGCGAAATCTAACTTAGCCCAGCTACCATCTCTTAAACCAAGTCGTTATAATTAATACCACTGAAACAGCTCAGAAGTACGAAATGATATCTGAAATTAGATATTTGTTGCTTCTAAGTTACCCCTGCTACTGTCAGTGTTTTTTTGAAAAAGTACTTTAACGTTAAATTGAGTACTAAGTAATAACCTCAGAGGAATTTATAAGCATTTTATCAGTTATGCATCCATGCAACAACCTCTTTTATCTTTCGAAATTCTCTACTAATTACTGTCCCCTTAATAATAATAATAATAATAATAATAATAATAATAATAATAATAACTTACTTTATTACTTTCCACGGATGGCTTTTCAAAGATATTATGAATAAAAATATTATAAAAATATTGACAACACCATGAGGCAAATTCTACAGGTCTTCAGTTATTTGTCGAGCTGCCCCGTCGATGTCCTAGACTGAGAATGATAGATGTAACTTGGAATCTGTCATAGAATGCCCAATTAATAATAGTTACTTCTTTTATGTCATTTTTTTTGTTTAAGTATTTGATTTTGCTGTGTACGCTATTGCGTAACTTTTATTGTTGCAGTTGGTACTTTATTGTTCGTTTTAAAACTAATGAGGTAAAATATTCATTGTAAGCCGTTGTATTGGTTGTAAGCCGTTAATTACTAGATCGGACCTTTTACAATAGTCCCTTTTTGCCACACCTTGCATTTGCATGGGATTTGGAAGTTTTAGATATTAAGAAAGAGCCGCGTCGCTAAAAAGTCAGTGCGGAGGGGGCGTTCAGAGAGACTGTAAGAGAGAGACCTTGAAGCACAAGCCGTTCTACTGAAATCCCTTCAGTAGAGGCGTTCCTTTTAACTTCACGGCAAAAGAAATCATTTTGTCGGGGGAAAGCAGTTTGATGTGCTGTCAAAGTTGAGAGGGCAGGAGAAGTATTGTGGAGACCATAACATCTCTCCAAGAACGGTTGCGGAAAGCCAAACTGAACTAGAGAGCAGCGGCAGACCGGGAGACCGAAGCCGGAGCAAGTCTGTGAAAGATATAAGAGAAAGGCGGCTACTGGAGTTTGGAGATTTTGGGATCGAGTAAAAGTGCTGTTGTGTTCGGAAGGAGTCGCGGCGGGCTGGACTAAAGGAAAGACGAGGAACTCTGTTTTATACGTAAGGTGAACTAAAAAGGGAACTATTACTGCGTGTTCGAAGAAGATAGTTTGTAAATATGTTGTAGACTAAGTAGTTCAAAAATCGCTGTGTTTTTGTGTAAAATAATTATCACAAGTAATATCGCATTAGTCTTTAGAAATTAGAATAATTATCCTGTTTTAATTGTTTAGTGAAAAGAGTATAATTATAGAAACGCCAAGTTAATCTTAAAATCGTGGACTTTTGGGAGTATTGTTTTAATAAACGTTTAGAGCATTATTTTTTTTATATACGCGTTTTCTTGAGTTTGTCTATGCTCGGTGTTATCGTTGGAGAGGACTTACTTTTGTGGCGGGTCTCGTCACAAATTTTTTGAAGACTATTCACAGTCCTCTATTTTTTCGTAAGATCGTCTAGATCAAGCGTTATGTGTACGGGCTGCCATCTTGCATGAGGTCAAAACTACTTAGGGGGGGGGGGCGGTTTGGGAGGAAGCCCCCCCCCCACCACAGCTATAATCCCCGACGCCCGCCCCCTCGGTACATTTGAAAATCCGATACCGTGATGGTAAGACTCAGTATATCTAAACGATCTCACGAGAAAATAGCGGACTGTGAACAGTCTAGATTTTTGGTGTCAGAAGTGGGATTGCTCTTTAATGGTTTGCATAAACGGCTCACACGGAGACACATATACAATTACCGTATTTAGGATTTATCATGGCCGCTAGAGCCACCGATTATGACTCCTGGTCGTTACAAGAGCTTAGGCATGAAGCTACGAGAAGATGTGTTAAGTTTCCACGTATGGACGGGGTTAAGACCTTAGCAAGCGGACTAAGAACGTTTGATCGGTTAGGCCAAAGTTCGGGTGATGCGGGGGAAAGCGAGAATCTTGCGGAGTCTGCTCAGGACACTAGTCTCAGTTTTGAACAAAGATTACAGCTACAGGAACGTGAAATGCAGATGCTAGAATTACGAAGGAAAATTAATCAGGAGCAAATGGAAATTAGGGAGCTACAGAGAGAGGTTGAGAAAGAGAGGCGCCAGGCAGAAAGGGAGGCGGAGAAAGAAAGAAGAGAGTATGAAAGGCAAAAGTCCCAGGAAGAAGAAGAACGTTTGATTCGAGAAGAGGAGAGACTTAGGAAACTCAGAGCTTAGAAACTGAACAATTTGCTGCAAGAGAGTCGAAAAGACGGTAGGTGTGTAACAATGAGACTAGAGGGCCTAAATTTATGAAAATCAGAGAAATGAGGGAAAGTGAAGATATGGATGATTATTTCCGGATTTTTGAAATGACTGCAAGGGCACAATCCCTACCTGAGGGGGACTGGGTTGGTAACTTAGTACCCAAGCTAACTGAAAAGGCTAAGTCAATCTACTTAGAAATTCCTGACCCTGCCTGCCAAGGTTATTTCGAAAGTAAGGCTATTATCATTAAAGCTTACCAGTTAACTGCTGATCATTATAGATATAGGTCTCGGACTTCGGAGAAAAAACCTGATGAGGATTTTGTTCAGTGGGGAAACAGGACCCGGAGGTGCCTCAATCGTTGGATGGCCGTTGCCGAGGCTACAGGGGATGCAGAAAAAATCATCGAACAAATAATGATGGAGCGACTCCTCGATGCAGTAAGCCCTGAACTTAGAGCTTGGTTAAAGGAACAGGAGCCAAAGACTGCTGAGGAACTTGGTAATCTCGCTAATTTGCATGTTCAGTCCAGAAAAGGACCACCTGTTGAGGGTAAGTATGTAACAAACCGAGGTGGGGGAAAATTTGGGAAAAAGGAAAGGTTTGGAGGTAAGGCAGACGATTCTTTGCCTGAAGAGAAACAAAATCAAAATTAAGGAAAGCCTTCAAAGCCCTGACCATCCCCCGAACAAAAGACTTCAAAGCCTGAAATTAAGTGCTACAAATGTGGTCAACCAGGACACATGTCGTTTAACTGTGGTGAGGGTCGTGGGAAGCCCTCACAGGGGTACCTGCTGTGCATGACACCTCTAACGACAGAACAATCTGAGTTTCCTCCTTGCAATGTTCGAGGTAAAATAAATGGAAAGTTTGTAGAAATAGTCGTTGATTCTGGGTGTACTAGGACTCTAGTTCACAGGAAATATATAAACAGCTCAGCCTTGACTGGTGACACAGTATTAACAGCTGCGGCAGAACATCTTACAGTTCCCCTTGCAAATGTTGAATTTGATAGCAAGGAAGGTAAACATGTAGAATTAGTTGGAGTTTTGGACAAGCTACCTATAGAGTGTTTACTTGGCAGGTCCTCCTTTGGAAAGACGCTTTCGAGGCAAAATATTTTGGACCAATGGGAGGAAAACGTTTAGGCAGCTGATGCTGGTGGACAAGAGGCTTTCGTAGTGACTCGAAGACAGAGAGTATTAGAAGAAGCCCTGTTTAGAGAGGATGAGTTAATTGACCGAGAAAGTTCAATAGCAGTCGAAAGTTTATCAAAAAAAGAGACGAAACGTGAGGGTGCAGAGGAAGGAGATCTGCAAACTCTCTTTGAGGGAAAGATACCGGAAGAGAAAGGTAAGGAGAATTCCGACAATGGTACTGTGGTAACCGAACCTGAAAAGGATAATTTTCCAGTAAACATCCTCGACCGAAATAGAAGTCAGCTGATTGCGGATCAATAGTCCGACGTAACTCTCGAGAAGAAACGCCGTGAAGCGTTCCAAAAGGCACCAGAAGAATCAGATGGCTCCTTTTTCACAAATGACCACTTGTTTCATCGCAAATATCTCTCAGATGAGCATAATGGAACTAGGCATGTTGATCGTATTGTAGTGCCAGAATCCTACAGAAGCGAAATTTTGCGGGTTGAACACACAATCCCCTCATTAGGTCATATGGGTAGCAAAAAAACATTTGACCGGATAGCTGCGCATTTTTCTTGGCCTGGTATAAGTTTTGATGTACGCAAATATTGTGCAACTTGTCCTCAATGTCAGTTGGTAGCCAGGAAATTAAAGTCAAAAAGAGCACCTGAGTCTTTTAAGAAGATCGCTATAGACATCGTTGGTGAATTACCTAGGACAACAACTGGCTATAAATACATTTTAACAATAGTAGATTATGTGAACAACAAACGCATAGACTGTCGCGGAAGCATTGATTCACTATTTCTCTGGGGTGGGTATTCCCGATGAATTAGTGTCTGACCAGCTAGGAATCCAATTTCATGAGTAAGCTCTTGGCCCAGTTGTACGACCAGTTGGGGGTTTTTACAGAAAGTTTATTCCTAACTTTTCAGAGAGAGCTGCTGTTTTGACTGACCTAACTAAAGGTAAGAATCCTTCTAAGGTTCAGTGGAATATAACCCATCAATTGGCATTTCAGGATCTAAAAGCTGCTATGCAGAACCCAGCCGTTTTGAGACTGCCACATTGGGAAGACGAATTCGTTTTGCAAGTAGATGCCTAGAATAGAGATCTTGGGGCAATCTTGAGTCAGAAAGATCAGGAAGGGGAGGAACACCCTATAGCTTATGCAAGTAGAAAGCTTCAGCCTAGAGAGCAAACGTTATCCACGACGTAGAGAAGGAGCTGCTTAGGTATTGTATGGGCTGTTGAGCTGTTTCGATACTATTTGTATGGCCGTACTTTTAAGCTGCAGACGGACCACAACCCTTTAGTGTGGTCGAATCAGGTCCGCGATAAGAGCAGCAAACTGCTGCGGTGGAGCATTACTCTACAAGAATATGACATGGTAGTCGAACACAAAAGTGGTAAACAGAACTGTAATGTAGATGCCCTTAGCAGGGTTTAAGTAAGCTTTACTGTTGTATTTTCATCGCTCGCTTAGGCTACACAGTAATTTTCAAGGAGTTATAATAACTCCTCTAGTGGAGCAAATTTAACTCCTTACAGTGGAGATATTTTTGGGGGAGTTATTTTAACTCTAAAAAGGAGTTTAAAGAACTCTTTTTCAGGAGTAAAAGTGACCCCAGATATAGAGAAGTTAAAATAACCCTAAAAAGGAGTTATCCTGTACCTAAAACTTCACTTTCAGAGTTAAATAAACTCCAAACAGAGTAAAAAACAACCCATGTAAGGGGTAAAAATAGCCCAATTCGGAGTTATTTTAACTCCAGACTGGGAGTAAAAACAACTCTTTTTCAGCAGTAAAAATGACCCCAAATTCAGGGTTAAATTAGGAGTTAAAATAAACTCCCAAAAAAGGGTTATCCTGTACCTAAAATTTGAGTTATAAAAAAATTTAAAATTTAAATTGGAGTTGGGGTCATAGAATGCCTAATTAATAATAGTTACTTCTTTTATGCTATGTTTTTTTTGTTTAAGCATTTTTTGCCGTGTACGCTATTGCGTAACTTTTATTGTTGCAGTTGGTACTTTATTGTTCGTTATAAAACTAATTAGGTAAAATATTCATTGTAACCTGTTCTATTGGTTGTAAGCCGTTAATTACTAGATTGGACCTTTTACAATGATCCCTTTTTGCCACACCTTGCATTTGGCATGGGATTTAGAAGTTTTAGATATTAAAAAGGAGCTGCATCGCTAAAAAGTCAGTGCGGAGGGCGCGTTCAGAGAGACTGTAAGAGAGAGACCTTGAAGCACAAGCCGTTCTATTGAAATCCCTTCAGCAGAGGCATCCCTTTTAACTTCACGGCAAAAGAAGTCATTTTGTAGGGGGGAAGCAGTTTGATGTGCTGTCAAAGTTGAGAAAGCAGGAGAAGTATTGTAGAGACCGTAACATCTCTCCAAGAAGTCAGTGCGTTACATAATATCTCTCCAAGAACGGTTGCGGAAAACCAGACTGAACTAGAGAGCAGCAGCAGACCGGGAGACCGAAGCCGTAGCAAGTCTGTGAAAGATATAAGAGAAAGGCGGCTACTTGAGTTTGGAGGTTTTGGGATCGAGTAAAAGTGCTGTTGAGTTCGGAGGGAGTCGCGGCGGGCTGGACTAAAGGAAAGACGAAGAACTCTGTTTTATACGTAAGGTGGACTAAAAGGGAACTATTACTGGGTGTTCGAAGAAGATAATTTGTAAATATGTTGTAGATTAAGTAGTTAAAAAATCGCTGTGTATTTTGTGTAAAATAATTATCAAAAGTAATATCGCATTAGTCTTAAGAAATTAGAATAATTATCCAGTTTTAATTGTTTAATGAAACAAGTATAATTATAGAAACGCCTAGTTAACCTTAAAATCGTGGATTTTTGGGAGTATTGTTTTAATAAACGTTTAGAGCATCATTTTATTTATATACGTGTTTTCTTGAGTTTGTCTATGCTCGGTGTTATCGTTGGAGAGGACTCACTTTTGTGGCGGGTTTCGTCACAGATTTTGGGTGTCAGAAGTGGGATTGCTCTTTAACGGTTTGCATAAACAGCTCACACGGAGACACGTATGAAATTACCGTATTTAGGATTTATAATGGCCGCTAGAGCCACCGACTATGACTCCTGGTCGTTACAAGAGCTTAGGGATGAAGCTACAAGAAGATGTAAATTTTTTTTTGCACGTAAGGACGGGGTTAAGACCTTAGCAAGCAGACTAAGAACGTTTGATCGGTTGGGCCAAAGTTCGGGCGATGAGAGGGAAAACGAGAATCTTGCGGAGTCTGCTCAGGACACTAGTCTCAGTTTTGAACAAAGATTACAGCTAAAGGAACGTGAAATGCAGATGCTAGAATTACGAAGGAAAATTAGTCAGGAGCAAAGGGAAAGTAGGGAGCTAGAGAGAGAGAGGCGCCAGGCAGAAAGGGACGCGGAGAGAGAAACAAGAGAGTATGAAAGGCAAAAGTCCCAGGAAGAAGAAGAACGTTTGATTCGAGAAGAGGAGAGACTCAGAGCTGAGAAAAAACAATTTGCTGCAAGAGAGTCGGAAAGACGGCAGGTGAGTAACAATGAGACTAGAAGGCCCAAATTTATGAGGGAAAGCGAAGATGTGGATGATTATTTCCGGATTTTTGAAATGACTGCAAGGGCACAATCCCTACCTGAGGGGGACTTGGTTGGTAACTTAGTACCCAAGCTCACTGAAAAGGCTAAGTCAATCTGTTTGCAACTGCTTCCCAAATATCAGCTGCTACCACTACTAGTAGTACTTCTATTACTACTTACTTAGAAATTCCTGACCCTGCCTGCCAAGGTTATTTCGAAAGTAAGGCCATTATCAAAGCTTACCAGTTAACTGCTGATCATTATAGATATAGGTTTCGGACTTCGGAGAAAAAACCTGATGAGGATTTTGTTCAGTGGGGAAACAGGACCCGGAGGTGCCTCAATCGTTGGATGGCCGTTGCCGAGGCTACAGGGGATGCAGAAAAAATCATCGAACAAATAATGATGGAGCGACTCCTCGATGCAGTAAGCCCTGAACTTAGAGCTTGGTTAAAGGAACAGGAGCCAAAGACTGCTGAGGAACTTGGTAATCTCGCCAGTTTATATGTTCAGTCCAGAAAAGGACAACTTGTTGGGGGTAAGTATGTAACAAACCGAGGTGGGGGAAAATCTGCGAAAAAGGAAAGGTTTGGAGGTAAGGCAGATAATTCTTTGCCTGAAGAGAAACAAAAATCAAAATCAAGAAAAGCCTTGACAGTCCTCACCCTCCCCCAAACAAAAGACTTCAAAGCCTGAAAGTAAGCGATACAAATGTGGTAAACCAGGATACATGTCGTTTAACTATGGTAAGGGTCGTGGGAAGCCCTCACAGGGGTACCTGTTGTGCGAACGGCTGGGTATTACAGAAAGTCTATTCCTAACTTTTCAGAACGAGCTGCTGTTTTGACTGACCTAACTAAAGGTAAGAATCCTTCTAAGGTACAGTGGAATAACCAATCAATTGGCATTTCAGGATCTAAAAGCTGCTATGCAGAACCCACCCGTTTTGAGACCGCCACATTGGGAAGTCGAATTCATTTTGCAAGTAGATGCCTCGAATAGAGGTCTTGGGGCAATCTTAAGTCAGAAAGATCAGGAAGTCGAGGAACACCCTACAGCTTATGCAAGTAGA